TAAAAACAAAACAACAGGCCAGGCGTAGTAGCTCATGCCTGTAATCCCAGCACTTTGGGAGGCTGAGGCGGTAGTATCTCCTGAGACCATGCTGGTCTCAAACTCATTTAGATTTCTAAATCTCATTTAGATTTTGTAGAGATAGCAAGACCCCCATCTCTACAAAAAAGTTAAAAAATTAGTTGGGCCTGCCAGGCGCCGTGGCTCATGCCTGTGATCCCAGCACTTTGGGAAACCAAGGCGGGTGCATCACCAGAGGTCAGGAGTTCGAGACCAGCCTGACCAACATAGAGAAACCCCGTCTCTACCAAAAATACAAAATTAGCCGGGCATGGTGGCGCATGCCCTGTAATCCCAGCTACTCGGGAGGCTGAGGCAGGAGAATCGCTTAAACCGGGAGCCGGAGGTTGCCGTGAGCCAAGATTGCGCCGTTGCACTTCAGCCTGGGCAATAAGAGCGAAAGTCTGTCTCAAAAAAAAAAAAAAAAAAAAAAAATTAGAGGCCAGTCGCGGTGGCTCACGCCTGTAATTCCAGCACTTTGGAAGGCCAAGGCCAAGGCCAGTGGATCACGAGGTCAGGAGATCGAGACCATCCTGGCTAACACGGTGAAACCCCATTTCTACTAAAAAATACAAAACATTAGCCGGGCGAGGTGGCGGGCGCCTGTAGTCCCAGCTACTCGGGAGGCTGAGGCAGGAGAATGGCGTGAACCTGGGAGATGAAGCTTGCAGTGAGCCGAAATTGTCTCGCTGCACTCCAGCGTGGGCAACAGAGCAAGGCTCTGTCTCAAAAAAAGAAAAAAAATCACGTAGATGAGGTAGCAAACTTGGGTAAGGCATTCTACATCCTTAATTTGTGAGTTGGATATATTTTTCCGATTTCCAAATATATGCTAAAAGTCATACAGAGGGCTGGTTGAGGTGGCTCACAACTGTAATCCCAGTGCTTTGGAAAGCTGAGATGGGAGATGGGAGGATCACTTGAACCCGGAAGTTCAAGACCAGCCTGTGCATCATAGCAAGACCTTCCCTGTCTCTGCAAAAAAAAAAAAAAGCCTAACAAAGATACAAAAGTGAAGTCATTTAGTAGGTGTCAGATTAATGGCCCTGGGGAAGTGACTGGTTCACCCTGACACCAGGCCCGTCCTGCCCCTCAGGAATGTGTATCCTCATGCAGAGAGATCCAGGTGTCACCAATGTCGCAATGAAGAAGTAGTGGCATTTAAAGACAGGGAGAAATCCCATGCCATTTAGGGCTTTGTGTCTGAAAGGCATACCGTTCTATGGCCATTTGCACTTATACAGAAGCCCTCACTTTCCTCTAATGAACTCTAGTCATTATCCAAGTGGATAAAGCCATTGTTCGTTCAGCACATGTTTCCCGAGCACCTACTGGATGTCAGCCTGCTGCAGGCATTGCAGCCACAACTTTAAGGTCAATCATCATGGGACTTTTTTTCCTAAGAGTCAGGTTCTTTCCTTGTTGCCCAGGCTGGAGTGTAGCAGTGCGATCATAGCTCACTGTAGCCCCAAACTCCTGGGCTCAAGTGATCCTCCCACCTCAGCCTCCCAAGTAACTGGCACTATAGCATGCATCACCAAGCCTGGCTGATTTTTTTTTTTTTTTTAAAGAGACAGGATCTTGCTATGTTGCCCAGGCTGGTCACAAAAAGAGGGGCTTTATCTAATGTCCTCTGTATGTATTTAAAGTGGGCAATAAAGATACCTGGGAAACGGATGTTAAAAACCCTGGGATGTAATTTCCCAAGTGCCTTAGAGCATTGCTAACTCACAGTGGATCCACACCTTGAACCCAGTCCTCTGGCTCCCAGTCAGCACTCCTGACACCCACTGACGCTAGTGGACAAGGCCTTCCACAAGAGAAGGCTTGTGTTTGGAGCCTTTGGGCATGTTACTTCCCAGTTCACCAGGGTTCACTGAGAGCCTCACCTTCCTCAGGGGAAATGGGATCCTCTCTGTCTAGCCCTCGCATGGACGGACGGAGCTGGCAGAGAGGCGAGCCCGTTAGCAGCAGGCATATCTGGCTTGCAAAGAAGAGATGTCTCGGCCAGCCACGGTGGCTCACGCCTGTAATCCCAGCACTTTGGGAGGCCAAGGCAAGCGGATCACCTGAGGTCGGGAGTTTGAGACCAGCCTGACCAACATAGAGAAACCCCGTCTCTACTGAAAATACAAAAATTAGCCGGGCATGGTGGCACATGCCTGTAATCCCAGCTACTCGGGAGGCTGAGGCAGGAGAATCACTTGAACCTGGGAAGCGGAGGTTGCGGTGAGCCGAGATCATCCCATTGCACTCCAGCATGGGCAACAAGAGCAAAACTCCATCTCAAAAAAAAAAAAAAAGAAGAGATGTCCATGGGGTCAGGAGAAATGAGGTCCAGTCCAACTGTGTGCTGAATAGATTGAGGTTAGCCATATAATGGCCCCAAACGGGGAAGGGACACAAAGCTGTTGCTGGCCAAGCGTGGTGTCCAACGCCTGTAATCCCAGCACCTTTCAAGGCCAAGATAGGAGAATCACTCAAGCCTAGGAAATCGAGGCCAGCCTGGGCAGCATAGCCAGACCCCATCTCTACAAAAAATTTAAAATATTAGCCAGATATGGTGGTGCGTACCAGTAGTCCCAGCTACTCAGGAGGCTGAGGTGGGAGGATGACTTGAGCCCAGGAGGTCAAGGCTGCAGTGAACTATGATCATGCTGCTGCACTCCAACCTGGACAACACAGTGAGACTATGTCAAAAAAAAAAAAAGAAAAGCTGTTGCTATAAGGAGACATTGTTGGACCCACACAGGCCTGAGCTCGGTGACATAGGCCAAAGTTTTGTAGAAGAGGGTGCAGTGTTCTGAGGCATGAAGTGACTGGACATATCCTCTTGAAGTCTACCCGCCACGGACGTGCCTGTGTGGGCTGTCGTCAGCTCTGGGGAGAGCATCCCATGGCCACAGACTGGAAAGGAAAGCTTCTCCGCCCAAAGGGAGGTGAGGGAATTCACCTGTTGACTGGTCATCTTGCTTACCTCTGCTGGGATGCAGTGACACACAGAAATGAGGCCAGCTTTGTCACAGGTGCCAGGCTCAGCTGCAGATGCCAGGTTTGCACCTTACTCAGCCAGGCTGGGGCTGCTGTTTATGCGTGGCAGTGCTCTCTGTCCTCCCTGGACTGTGTCTGAAGAGCTTCCCTTTGCTAGCCCCATGGTGCCCGAACCACAGAACCACCAAATCTCAGGGTTCGGGGAGACCTCAGCCCGGCTCTAGTACAGCTCCTTTGTCACGGCCCCCTCTCTCATATGTGATTGGCCATCCCTTCCAGTTGGTGGCCTTCCAGAGCTTCTCGTGTTGGACCCGGCTTCTCAGCAGCTTCTGTGGAAAAAAAGCCCCCAACTTCTGCTCCTCTCTCACATCACACACGTTCCCACTGTCCCCCCACACAGCCTCTGGCTGAGGCGCCTCGCCTCTGGGGCCGCACTTTTGATGGCAGGTGCTGGCCCCACCACTCTGAGGACCCTGAGCCCCTCCTATCCCTGCCACAAGAGGGGACCACAGGAAGCAGACGCTCGGGCTGGCAGAGGGCCTGTAATCTGAGCTCCTGCGTGTGGGTGCGTGTGTGTCAGGAGCCCGGGGCTTGGGCTCTCTCCCACAGCTGTCCTCCTGGCCCCCCTGTGTCTTGGCAGTAGCTGCTCTCAATGCAGCTCTGTGCTTTCCCAGCACCTGTGACATTCCCAGCTGCTATTCATCCTTGCCCTAGAGATCTCCAGCCCCAAGGCTGCCCCCAGCCGTGGATCTCCGGGCCTCACTGGCTCCTCCACACTCCCTTCGTGAATTTTCTGCTGCATACAGGATGGTCTGAAATGCCCATCTGGTCAGGTGCTTTCATTTCCCAGCCCTGACTGAGTCAGCCTCCAGGGGTGACACCAGGGCATTCTGACCCTCAGCAAGGAGTGGCCGCTGTTGCCACATGAGTGGCAGAGACCTTCGGGCTTCAGCCTAACCTTCCTGGCCCTCTGTGCCTTTTTCATGTGCTCTTCAGTGCCTGGAGCACCTCCTGCTCCCCCTTTGCCTAGAGAACTGGCCCCTCACTTCCCATACTTTGCCACACATGCTGCCCTGCCCCGTGTGGTCCTCCCACAGAGCGTGATGAGTTAGGGTCTTCTGCTCTGCTCCAGATCCACCTTCCAGCAACCACCAAGGCTCTTGTCAGGCGCAGGTTGCTCTGAATGTGTGTGGCACATGTGGGTCACTGGGCACAGCGTTAGGCTCTTGTGCTTGGGAGCCTGGGTGATCTGATGGGCTGTGGTCAGTGGCCTGGACTAGCCCGGGAACCTGTTGGAACATGGAAGTTTAGGGCACAGCGGTCCCTGAGTTGGAGCCTGTTGTCTGAACTGCATTCCTGGTGTGTGTCTTCAGTGCTATCCCATAGTTGTGCCTGTGTCAGTCCTTCCTGGAGCCCCCCTCCCTCCCCTCTGAGAGGCTGACTTTGCTCACAGCCAAGCATCTTTCAAATGCCTCTTGCTCAGAAGGACTGACCTTGCCCCCCAAGACCCATTCTCCAGTTGAAACTGACTTCTCATGTTATGCTTTGCTGAATATCCTTCCTCTCTGCCTGACCTCTGACTGCCAGCCCTACTTCCGTGTGACATGAGGGGTCCTTGATGGGGCCAGGTCACCTCTGAGCTCTGTTCCTTTCTGAAGCAGCTCCCACCCAAGGGCCTGTGGGGTCTGACTCCAAGTGCCAGCCCCTCCTCTGATGTCAGAAGGGCATGTCCCCTCCTCCCCAGGCACCCTCTGGGGCTCTATAGCTTCCATTCCCCTGGCTGGATTGGAGGGGAGTAAGCCCACCCTCTCAGGCCAAGCAGGCCACCTTCTTGTTACCTGGATACCTGGCAGCCTCTGTTCTCAGGACAACCTGTGGAAACCCCAAAGCCAGTAACCAGGTGCCAGGTGTTTGCCTGAGAATTAATCTTTCTTTTCTTTCTCTTTCAGTGGTTGATATCACAGCAAGTATCCTTTCCGTGTTGGTATGGTTCCTTCTAAGGAATTCTCCACTTAAATAAAAAGAATGTATCAAAGCTTGAATCCCACCTCCCAACATGCCCTGCGAGTTGAGGCTCTGCCCACAGAGCACCTGGAACATCCCCCATCTGGCCCTTTGCTGCCCCTGGGCACTGTGCTCCTCTTTGTGCTTCTCTTCATACCTCGCATCCAGCTCCAAGCCCTGCCCTACAGCAAGCTCAAGGTTCACTGGGGGAACAGGAAAACTTGGAATTTCAGGGCAGGCAGGGATGTGCGTGCCCGGCAGACCTCGGCAGGGTAGGAGCCCCAAGCTGTGGCCCTTTCAAACTGACCTTTTTTGCAGTGTCCTACTTCCTTAACTGGACGTCACTAGATCCCGCAGTTCGAAGATGTTAAATTTGAAGCAGCAAGTCTGTTGTCTGAATTGTACTGTCAAGAGGTAAGAACATATTAAGGTTTCTGAAAGCAAAGTGTCTCTCCCTGTTGCTAAGACATGACAGCACATTGGTAAATTGGGGCTCCGGGAGTTGGAATCCCTCCAGCTTTTTTATTTTGAGGCTGGAGTGCATGACACAATCACAGCTCATTGCAGCCTTGAACTCCTGAGCTCAAGTGATCCTCCCACCTCAGCCTCCCAAGTAGCTGGGACTATAGGCGTGCACCACCCATGCCTGGCTAATTTTTTTATTTGTTGTAGAGATGGTCTTGCCCAGGCTGGGCTCAAGCTCCTGGCCTCAAGCAATCCTGCCTCGACTTCCCAAAGTGCCAAAATTATACACAGGAACCACCGTGCCCAGCCCGGTGGCTTTTAACAATCAGATTACTTTCCTACGTCTTATGCCCAAGCCCCAGGGCTTTGGTGGGTAGCCACCTGCTAAGGAGTGCCGGCAGCTTCCTTTTCTATATACTACTGTTGGAGAGATCAGCCTATTCCTCACCTGACAAGTCTGTACAGTTTCCCTTCTTCATCTGGTTCCTAATTTCAATTATAGCTGAAATTTGCCTTCCTCCCACCTCAGAAGGTTGACGAGTAAGGTGGCTTTGGCGGCAGGGAATGTGTGTACTTCACACCCCGATGCCTCTCTCTGGTCTGAGAACATAAAAGATGGGAACTGGCATCTGATTTGACAGTTTAGAATTTTGAACTGAAAGTACTTTCAGTCCAGTTGAATGAGAAGTTATTTTAAGAGTGATGCAGAAACTTCCCAGCCAGTGAGTCCAATAAAATATCTTTTTTTGCTTTTAATAAAGTAAATTGGCAACCCAAAAAAATCCTTTGGTAAGCATGAACAGGAACTGCCTTCTGGCACCACAGCTGCTGCTAAGGAATCCAGCTTGATTGCCGCCTTCTTACGTTCCCAAACGTAACTATTTCCTTTCAGAATTCCGTCGATGCAGCAAAGCCGCTGCTGCGGAAGGCGATACAGATCTCACAGCAGACCCCGTATTGGCACTGCCGCCTGCTCTTCCAGCTCGCTGTGAGTACTGTGGCCCAGGCACAAGGGTGCCTGGCAGGGACCATGACCCTGGGGCACACCTGCCCCATGTGCAAAGAACAGCAGGGTCCACGATGCGCAGACCCCCTCGGGCTGGCACACGGAGTGGGTGGGGACATAGGAACATTTACTTAACCTGCTCACAAGCCCCCTCCAGCCTCCATCCTTGACAGCATCCCCGGCTTGAGCCTGGCTCTCAACAACGCCCGGGGGTGAGTGGTGGGAGTGCGGGGCTTCCCCGGAGCTGACACTGACAGGGGGCCTGCTGCTTGTTGGGTGTCTTTGGGTTTCTCTCCCTCCCAGCCATTCTCATCTCATCTTTGGCCTGCGCTCATTGAAATCCCAGGAACGTTTCCTGCCAGAGACCCACTGTGGGGTTTTTTTAGGAGCTAGGCTGAGACTCCAGGGGGCTGCCTATCAGGCCACAAATGTCCACGTCAAGCATTGTTTCCCACATGGACCCCTCACTTTTGGGGGCTGCTGGGGTACACCCTCATCCTGGGATCCACACAATTCCTCCTCATGCTCCCTTCGGCACCCCAGATACAGGTGGTGCCCTGGTCTCTGAGCTCCACAGTGCTCGGTTGTTGGGGGACTCTGAATTCGGCCTTCCCAGCTACAGTGGAGAGACCAGCAGGCTCCACCGTGTGGGGCACCACTCCTGTCCTGGGCTCTACCTACACTTCTGCACTGGGGACCCTCAGGCGGGTGCCTGGCCCCCAGCCTCTCTCTTCCATGACCTAGCCTGCCCTCTGGGCCACCACTTAGCCACCTCCCATGACACCCACCTAGGCACGCAGTGTGTTGACCCTGGGTTGGGAGTTCCTCCAGCTGAGTCCCTCACTCCAGGAGGGTCTGGCTGAGAAAAGTACCCACAGGGAAGAGCTCACCCAGCAGCCAGGAGTTCCCAAGGCCCTCCTCCCCCAGGCCTGATGAGAAGCCGAATGCACACACAGTCTCCTTCCATCTCCCCACGCACACTTGTGCACATTAGCAGACAAAGGAGCAGGCCAAGCTGTGAGTCACCACCCCCAGGCCACAGAGTTGGCAGGCGCCATGTGCACGCACACCCAAGGGCCGAGCTCTCCACCATGGCCCCGCAGGTGTCGCCTTGCAGGGTCAAGCCAGGCATGTGCCTCCCTTTCAGCCTGTTCAGGCTTTGACACTTGCCTCTGAGGGAGTCCCTCCTTGTTGTTCCTGGAACACACTGGGGACACCCCACTAAAGACAGACCCCACAGGCACCCACGAAGCACTCAGAACAGCCCTAGGTGCTCTCACAGCCTTGGGGGCTGCGCCATGAGCCTTGACTGCTGGTTCTATGCTCCATTAAGTTTAGACGGTGTCTACTGCAGGCACCATTCAGTTAGATGACATATATACCACAGGCCAACTGGAGCTCTGTACCCAAAGCAATTAGCGTTGATGAGATAATTTGGTTAATTTAGCTCACAACTGACACAGGCAGTTTCATTGACGTGGGGAGGTTTGGTTGTTGGTTAACAAAGCACAAAGGCCAGGTACCGTAAAACTGATGGGTTTGGCAGCAAAGGTCACTGCTCTCTCTCTCCGTTTTAGCAACTGCACACGCTTGAGAAGGACCTGGTGTCGGCCTGTGACCTCCTGGGTGTGGGGGCCGAGTACGCCCGGGTAGTGGGATCTGAGTACACACGGTAGGCACCCACTCCCCTCCTTCCCTCCCGCTCTCTTAACATAGAGGGGGCTTGGCCACCTTGGTCCAGGACAAAGAACAGAAATGGCATTTCAGGCCAAGCACAGTGGCTCACAGTATATTCCCAGCACTTTGGGAGGTCAAGGTGGGAGGATCACTTGATCCCGGGAGTTCAAGACCAACCTGAGGAACATAGTGAAACTCCATCTCCACAAAAAATACAAAAGTTGGGGCCAGGCTTGGTGGCTCACGCCTGTAATCCCAGCACTTTGAGAGGCTGAGGTGGGAGGATCATGAGGTCAAGAGATTGAGACCATCCTGGTCAACATGGTGAAACCCCATTTCTACTAAAAATACAAAAATTAGCTGGGCGTGGTGGCGAGTGCCTGTAATCCCAGGTACTCAGGAGGCTGAGGCAGGAGAATCGCTTGAACCTGGGAGGCAGAGGTTGCAGTGAGCCAAGATCGTGCCACCGTACTCCAGCCTGGTGACAGAGCGAGACTCCGTCTCAAAAAAAAAAAAAAAAAAAAATTGGTCACCATGAGGCACAGGTTTGAGCCTGAAGTTCAGGCACCCAAACTTGCCCACTGGCCCTCACACTGTGTGTCCACCGCCGCATATTTTTTGTAGAGATAGGGTCTCACCATGTTGCCTAGGCTGATCTCGAATTGCTGACCTCAAGTGATCCGCCCACCTTGGCCTCCCAAAGTGTTGGGATTACAGGCGTGAGCCATTGCACCCAGCCCCCTTCTGGGCTTTTCACATGAGTGTGTCTAAGCCATGTAAGAAAAATAAATACAGGCTGGGCGCGGTGGCTCACACCTGTAATCCCAGCACTTTGGGAGGCCGAGGCAGGGGGATCACTTGAGGTCAGGAGTTCGAGACCAGCCTGGCCAACGTGGTGAAACCCCATCTTTACTAAAAACACAAAAATTAACCAGGCATGGTACCAGGCTCCTGTGGTCCCAGCTGCTCAGGAGGCTGAGGCAGGAGAATCGCTTGAACCCGGAAAGCAGAGGTTGCAGTGAATTGAGATCACACCACTGCACTCCAGCCTGGGCAACAGAACGAGACTCTAAGAAAAAAATAATAAAAATAAATAAAAATAAACACAGGCACAATAGGATAAAACAGAGCAGTCTTGTACGGGGACTATTTACTGTCGTCCACTGAACTGTCCCCCGAGGTGGCATATTAGGTCCTGTGAGCCTTGGGGTAGTCACAGTCATCTCAGGAGGCTCCTGGGCCTTCTGGGACCTGACCCCTGCCTCTTGTTTTGCAGGGCGCTGTTCCTCCTCAGCAAGGGGATGGTAAGTTGAGGCTGGGCATGGCTGGATGCAGCCGGTGTCGTGGAGGTGAGGCAGGACTCCCTGCTCAGACCCCGTCCGCTCTCCATGGCATGGCCCCTCACACGCCCAGACCCTTAGGCATAGTGAGCAGCCTGGAGTGTGAGGCCCAGGCCCTGCTGGGTTCAGGAGGGAAACTCAGGCTCCTGCCGATGGGATTCATGCTGAGGCAGGAGCCTGGTTAGGAGCTGCCTGGGCCGGGGTTTCAGGCTGGCCTTGCCCTCTGGGTTGGAGGCAGTAGTCCCAAGGCAGGTGGGCAGGTGAGCCTGTGCTCCCAGTCCCAGGAGGGCCCCTGCAAGCCCTGTACCCTACACCTGTGTCTCTCCCTCCCCAGCTGCTGCTGATGGAGCGCAAGCTGCAGGAGGTGCACCCGCTGCTGACCCTCTGTGGGCAGATCGTGGAGAACTGGCAGGGGAACCCCATCCAGAAGGAGTCGCTGCGTGTCTTCTTCCTGGTGCTCCAGGTCACTCACTATTTGGATGCCGGGCAGGTGTGTGGCGCCTCTTGGGCGGGCTGCTGGTTGTGACCAGTGGGTGTGGGTGGCACCCAGGCCAATGGGTCTTGGGCTGTGAGGTCACCTGTGTCATTGCCTTACCTTGCCACACAGCAGGGCTGTCTTTCCAGCCCCAGACACACACACTTCTGTCCTGCTCTGCTGCGAGTGCTGGCACCATCGTGCCTGCCTGGTGTGCTGGTGCCTGGGAGCAGGGTCTGTCCTGGCCACCCTGCCTCCCTTTGGGAGTACTATGTGTGACATTGTATACACTCGCTCAGTGTGTGGATGCTCAGAGATTGCAATGACGGTTCAGGGAATCATGAGAATAAACCACAGAGGTGCTGGGGCGGTGCCTGCACACAGCAGATGCCCAACTGGTGTCTGTCTGGCCCCCCTGCTGTGGGATTGAGTAGGGACTGATGTGCCCAGCTGTGTCCGAGACTGGACTCCATGACCCCGCCGTGGGTGGGAAACAGCTGTGTTTGAGCTCCTTGTCTGTGCTTGTGTGACCGTCTCGGCCCTTCAGGGGCTGGGGGCTGCCCTGTGCCCCTCAGACCCACCTATCATGGTGGGCCACAGGCGAGTCTCTCCACAGGGCTTGGTAAGGGGGTTGTCCAGTTCCTCCATCCATACCCATCGTTGCCCATTGGGTGAAGCACTGCACTCGGCGCATAGGGACACAGAGCAGACTGCAGCCGCGCTTCCCTCGGGGTGCTAGGGCCGCAGAGACATCCCTCGGGGCCTCAGGGCGAGATGGACCACAGCGCTTGCCCGACTCCTGGGCCAGGAAGCCACCTCCCACCCCCGCGGAGCACAGCCTCCCCTTGCTGTCTCAGGTCTGGCTGCAGGAAGACCAAGTGCAGCTCCAGCAGGGTCTGGACAGGCCTCTCCTGGGCCTTGGTGTTGGACCCAACACTGGGCAGTGGACAAGCCTCAGTCCCACAGCTGCCCGCCTGGCCGTGCCCCGTGCCCTGAAAGCCTGGCTGATTCATGGGAGTGCGGCAGGGGCGGGTCCATCTTGCAGGAGGTGGCCCTGGCAGAAGGGGAAGGCAGGTGCTCCCTGAAGGAAGGGGCAGGGGTGGCTGGGCTGGGCCCGGCTTCCTGAGAGGCCAGGCTCAGGTGGGTGCTCGGGTGTGGGTGCTGCACAGGTGAAGAGCGTGAAGCCGTGTCTGAAGCAGCTGCAGCAGTGCATCCAGACCATCTCCACGCTGCACGATGATGAGATCCTGCCCAGCAACCCCGCTGACCTCTTCCACTGGCTGCCCAAGGAGCACATGTGTGTGCTTGTCTACCTGGTGCGTCCCCACCAGGGCCCGAGCCAGGGCTGGGGGCGGGGGCGGGGAGAGGGAGAGGGCCCTGGTAAACCCTGCTGTCTGGTCTTGTTGACAGGTGACTGTGATGCACTCCATGCAGGCCGGCTACCTGGAGAAGGCGCAGAAGTACACGGACAAGGCCCTCATGCAGCTGGAGAAGCTCAAGAGTAAGTCAGGCGCTCGACTGGCCACGTGGCCACAGCGCCCCCTGGCGGACAGCCTGGCCAGTCACTGGCTGTTCTGGGGCACAGTGACCGTGTGACCGCAGCACCCAGCCGCCCTACCTAGTGGGTCTCGTCACCCCTAGTTGGTAAATGCTGGTGACCCACGTCGGAGCAGAGCAGACAGGACTGGGGTCAGGGGTACCTCCCTGACTGGTCAGGGCCGTTGTGCCCAATGGTGCTCAGTTGAAACAGGTGGTGGCTGCCTTTCCCAATTATTATCAGTGTTTTGATGGGGACACTCAGGATGACGCCAGGATCAGAACTCAGCCCTCACTGACCACCAGCATGTCCTTTGGAGGTCATGAGTTCTTTCCAGATGTTCAACTGTCTTAATCTATCTAGGGACCTTTGACTAGCACAAACCCAGAGCAGATGTCCCTGGCTGGTGCAGTGTGCCCATTAGTCTGTCTGTTTGCTCCCTCGTGAGTGCTGCTGGGGGCGAAGGCATCAGAGCCAAGGCAGCTCAAAGCCTGAGAGGCCTGTGCTTCTCTTTTTCCCATGTGAGGATGGCTGCTTGGGGCTGTCAGGAGGTGGGGCCTGGCCCAGGTCCCCCTACCCCACTGCCTGAGGCTCTGCTGCATGGTCTCATGATCCAGGGTGGTTTCCACATTTCCACATTTCTAGAACCTGCCATGTCCACAAGCTCTTGAGCACGTAGGGTGAGGGTGAGGGTCAGAGCCGACCCCTCTTGGAGCCCTGTGGGAACCAACCTCTGGCTCCAGCTCCGTCTCTTCACCTGGACAGCAAGACACACTCCCTCACTCGGAGGGCGCAGTGGGGACTAGGGGAGATGACGGGGTGGGTGCCTGGCCAGTGTGACTGGAGACAGGAATGAGGTAGGGGAGGCGCCTCCTCTGGCCTCCCCTGCATGCTCACCCCTGACTCTCGCCCATAGTGCTGGACTGCAGCCCCATCCTGTCATCCTTCCAAGTGATCCTGCTGGAGCACATCATCATGTGCCGCCTCGTCACGGGTCACAAGGCCACGGCGCTGCAGGAGGTAAGGCTGCACGCAGGAGGGGTGGGAAGGCCCAGGAGTTTGTTGGGTCTCAGCAGTGTCAGACAAGAGACTGAATTCGCCAAGTGCGGTACTGGCAGGCCAGCCCATCCTGCTGTCTTGCTGTCAGTCAGCGTTTTACAGCCCCACATGGGCACCACTGATAAGAGAATCTCATACAAAAACCAGTGGAGGCTGGGCACAGTGGCTCACGCCTGTCATCCCAGCGCTTTGGGAGGCTGAGGCGGGTGGATCACTTGAGGCCAGGAGTTTGAGTCCAGCCTGGCCAACATGGCAAAACCCCGTCTCTACTGAAAATACAAAACTTAGCCAGTTGTGGTGGCAAGCACCTGTAATCCCAGTTACTTGAGAGGCTGAGGCAGGAAAATCGCTTGAACCTGGCAGGCGGAGTTTGCAGTGAGCCGAGATCGCACCACTGCACTCCAACCTGGGCAACAGAGCGAGACTCCATCTCAAAACAAAAACAAAAACAAAAAAACAACAGACCATGGCCCAAAAGCTTGCACACTGAGGGGATCGCACACATGGTGTCTGGGGATTTGGGGGTCCCTTGACAGTGATTCTTATACCCCACCCTGCCGTTAGGAACACTCTCTACCCCCAGTGCCCACCCTCCTGAGAGGGCATGGAGGCCTTCAGTAGGCTGGAGGTCCTTTACGGCCCAGACACCTGTTGGACAGGGTGGAAGAGGCGAGTAACAGACAAGGGTCCCTGTCCACAATGGGATCCGGGCTGCCCTTTACCCCCATGGTGGACATGTCTGCTGGGGCTTTGTACCCCAGTTTGGGCAGAGGGGACATGGGCTCACCCACCAGCTATGGGGTCTCTCCATTGCTGCTCAGACGCCAGGTCCCAGGTTGCAGTCCTGTGATGGCGGTACACTCTCTCCCGGCAGATCTCCCAGGTCTGCCAGCTGTGCCAGCAGTCCCCCCGGCTCTTCTCCAACCACGCAGCACAGCTGCACACACTGCTGGTGAGTAACTCCTTGACAGCACCCCAGGAGAATCCAGAATGTTCCCAGTAAGTAAGTACCTAACCAGATCCAGAACATTCCCAGTGAAGAACCCCCTGACGGCACCCTAATCAGAATGTTGCCATAGGTAATCATATAACCTCCTCAGGCAGGATCCGGAATGTTTCCAGTGAGCATCTTGTCCCACCCCACACTGGCTTGGGTCTGAAAGTTGGGGACAGTGAGCATATTACCTGCATCGCAGCTGGCTCGGCAGTGAGCCATTATCATACTCCTCCAGGGCAGCCGTGTAGGCCCCGTTTGCACTGCATGTGTCTCTGATCTGAGCCCCCTCCCCAGGGGCCGGCCCTGATGACAACATGTCTTCTTCCAGGGCCTGTACTGTGTCTCCGTCAACTGCATGGACAACGCGGAAGCCCAGTTCACCACAGCCCTGCGGGTAAGGTGCCGGCCCTCCTTGCTGCTCGGGGCGGGCCACACTTCTGAGTAAGGAGTCGGGTGTGGTCTGTGATGAGGACAGCAGTCGCACTAGGTCAGCTATGCAAAGCCGCAGCCCCAGAGGCGATGCACAGTAGTCAGCCCATGCCAGCCTTGGCAGTGACGCACTGTTTATCTGGATAAGGGACAACTATGGGGCCAGGGTCTTCCTGAGCTGACCCCAGGGCAGACGTGAGGGAGAGGTGCGACGTGTCCGTGGACACCACTTCCAGGCCTGAGTGGGAGCTTTTGTGGCAGCCACCCCTAAGGCTGGATTGGCTCAAGTGTCAGCTGACGACTTAGAGCCACCCTGGGTTCAGGGCTCCCATGGGGAGTGGTGGAGCTGGGCCATCTCACAGGTGCTTTTTGGGCAGAGGAGGACTCCTGGTCCTGCTGGGCTGGGGAGGGTGAAGCAGCTCCCCAGGCTTCTGGCCACAGATGGGGAAGAAGGCTAGTGCCACATCCTCACGGAGCGCCCCAGCCCAGGACTGGACCATCATGTCCCCACCTCAGCCTCAATCTCCTCACAGGAAATGGAGGCTGTGGACGCTTTTTTCCCGATGGTTCTAGGAAGGGCCCTGAGGAGAGGTGTCAGGGAGCAGGGGCTGCTCTGTCTGCCACTCGGGCAAGGTCACCGGGGAGTCCTGCGTGCACCCTGACTGTTGGACAGAGTTCCCCTCCTCGGCACCCCACAGGCCTGTAGGTGCTGCCACCCCCGCCACTGGCCTCAGAGGTACACAGGAGCCCTGACGTGCAGACAGCATGCTTGGGAGGGAAGGGCCGACTTGGCACCCACTCCTCCACCTCTTTGCCTCACTCTCCGGACTCTGGCTCACTCTGACTACAGCAGGGCCAGGACCCTCCTTGTGGCCCTGCCATCCTGCCATCTCCGTCTCCGTCTCACTCCCCACAAGTGGTTGCTGTTGCTGGTTTGGTTCCACGTCAGAGTTCCCAAGGCCACATACCCTAAGGAGTCCTCACCCCGGGGCCAAAAGAGAGCCTCTTTTTCATGGCCCACCCAGGAGTGATGGAGCCAGAATGCAACCCCAGCCCCACTAACCCCAAACACACATGCCTCCTGTGGGCCCTCAACAAACATCCCCCACCTTGCTGAGTCTCAGAGCATCTGTGCTTGATTCAGAAGATCCTCTGGGCCTCCTGGGTGTGTGCCAGGAGGGCATCTGTGCAGGTGGGGTCTGTGCTTCCCTGGCTCACTCCACCTCTTGCCCAGCCCCACTAGGAACCAGGGTCTAGGCAGGGCTTGAGCCACATAGATTGGTCCCTCTCTTGACGATCTCCTTTCCCAAGAAGAGCCAGGGACCGTGACCCATCTACCACCTGTCATCAGCAGCATTTCTGGCCTCTGACAGCGTCACCTACCTCTGGAGCGGGGCCTGTGCTGGCCCCCTCTGGGACAACAGCTCCCCTCCTCCCCACTTCCCCCCATGAAGAGTGACCCCTGCCCAGGACCAGCATGTGCCTTGATAGCAGTGGACACCTGGGTCCCCCAGGTTGCTGGCTGTGGCCTGGAGGAAGGGTCCACCAGGTCTTAGTCCTGACAGACAGCGGAAAATGGGCCAAAACCCAACATGTTCTGAGGGTGGGATCAGGGTGGCTGGTTTTCCTCTTCTGTGTTCTCTAACTGCCCCGTGACACAGACGATGATTTTATAATGAGAAGAATTAATAGCTGTGTTACCCTTGAGTTTAGGAGGCAAGGGAAGTGTGTTTGAAATGAAAAAAACAAGTCTTTTCCAAAGTAGTCTCCGTGGAGATTGTGGGTAGCTCTCACACTGCCACATGGATCACAGCGCCCGACCCAGCTCCCTAATGTCCCCACTTCCCATTCCAGCTCACCAACCACCAGGAGCTGTGGGCCTTCATTGTCACCAACCTGGCGAGTGTGTATATACGGGAAGGAAATAGACACCAAGAGGTAGTAGGTGACATGCTTCATGTTCGGTATCCTTTCTCTCTGTTCTCTTCTTTTTGGGGAACCAGGGGGTTGTCCTGGGCACCAGCACATCTCAGCAGACCCCAGGGTGTTCACCTTTTGAGGGATGGGCAGCACCCGACACAGAGGCACACAGGGCATCCCAGAGGTGAATCGGGCTATGGCCGGGAGAGGCCAGGTCTGAGACAAAAACATTCCCATAGCTAGGCCAGGCGCAGTGGCTCACGCCTGTAATCCCAGCACTTTGGGAGGCTGAGGCGGGCGGATCACAAGGTCAGGAGATCGAGACCATCCTGGCTAACACGGTGAAACCCGTCTCTACTAAAAATACAAAAAAATTAGCCGGGCATGGTGGCGGGCACCTGTAACCCCGGGATCCCCACTCAGCCCTGGGATCCCCCTGAGCCCTAGGATCTTCCGTCAGCCCCAGGATTCCCTCCTCAGCCCTGGGATCCCCTCCTCAACCCCGGGATCCCCTCCTCAACCCCAGGATCCCCTCAGCCCCAGGATCCCCTCCTCAGCCCCGGGATCCCCTCCTCAGCCCCAGGATCCCCTCCTCAGCCCCAGGATCCCCTCCTCAGCCCTAAGATCTTCCATCAGTCCTGGGATCCTCTATCAGCCCCAGGATTCCCTCCTCAGCCCTGGGATCCTCTGTCAGCCCCGGGATTCCCTCCTCAGCCCTGGGATCCCCTCCTCAGTCCCGGGATCCCCTCCTCAGCCCTAAGATCTTCCATCAGTCCTGGGATCCTCTGTCAGCCCCAGGATCCCCTCCTCAGCCCCGGGATCCCCTCCTCAGCCCCGGGATCCCCTCCTCAGCCCCGGGATCCCCTCCTCAGCCCCGGGATCCCCTCCTCAGCCCTAAGATCTTCCATCAGTCCTGGGATCCTCTGTCAGCCCCAGGATTCCCTCCTCAGCCCTGGGATCCTCTGTCAGCCCCGGGATTCCCTCCTCAGCCCTGGGATCCCCTCCTCAGTCCCGGGATCCCCTCCTCAGCCCTAAGATCTTCCATCAGTCCTGGGATCCTCTATCAGCCCCAGGATTCCCTCCTCAGCCCTGGGATCCTCTACCAGCCCCGGGATTCCCTCTTCAGCCCTGGGATCCTCTGTCAGCCCTGGGATCCTCTGTCAGCCCCGGGATTCCCTCCTCAGCCCTGGGATTCCCACTCAGCCCCGGGATCCCACTCAGCCCTGGGATCCCCCTCAGCCCTAGGATATCCCTCAGTTCTAGTGTCTCTTTCACCCCTGGGGGTCTAGCTCCAAAGTGTCTCAGGCCAGGTGCTGTGGCTCACGCCTGTAATCCCAACACTTTGGGAAGCCAAGGCAGGAGGATCACTTGAGGTCAGGAGTTCAAGACCATCTTGGGCAACATAGGGAGACCCCTATTTCTACAAAAAGTTTTTTAAAAACCTGGTGTGGGGTTGCCGGCCTGTGGTCCCAACTACTCGGGAGGCTGAGGCAGGAGGATTGCTTGAGCTAGGGAGATTGAGGCTGCAGTGAGCTATGATCGGGCCACTGCACTCCAGCCTGGGCGACAGAGCAAGAACCTGTCTCAAAAGAAAAAGCCCAGCCCTGGCTGGGTCGTCTGATGCCAGATGTGGGCTCGCATTGTTGAGGAGGAGTTTGGCTCCCCTGTGCCTCTGCAGCCAGAGGGCATCTAAATTATCAGGTCACACCCCCATCCAAGCCTCCTGGGGTCCCTGCACCTCCAGAGAAATCCCACCCACTCACCCCCAGCAGCCCACAGGGCTCACGGGCCCCAGCCTGCCAATCTACGCACTGCCAGGCCAGCCCTTCAGCGCCACTCTGACCATACAAAGGCTTTCTGGACGCCCAGGCCCCTGTCATCTACCACAGGACAGGGTGGCACAGGCAGGGCTGGCTGAGGGCATGAGAGTCTTGCCCCTGGCCCTTCTCACCAGAGGCCGCTCTTGCTGGTCAGTCACCAGGCTCGACCTGGGGGCCATAGTCCCTATGGGGGTGTAGAGAAATCCCCATGCACTGCAGTGTGTCTTGGGGACCTTTCTCCTGTGAAGATGCAGAATGATGCTGACTGGCTCTTCTCCGCCTCCTCCCCTCCTCAGCTCTACAGTCTACTGGAGAGGATCAACCCAGACCACAGCTTCCCTGTCAGGTGAGCCACTCCGGGCACCACTCCACGCATGGCCTAGGCTCCCCATGCTCTTGGGATGGGGCCCCCAACTGCCCCTTGCACCCTGACACCCCACACCCCTCCTCGCAGATAGTCTGCAGCAGGGGTCTCTCAGAAATCCCCTCCAGCTGCCCACCGCTGTTTTGTAAACCACCTTTCTCAAAATCCCCACCCCACGTGACCCTGCACTCTCCCTCCAGCTCACACTGCCTCCGAGCGGCTGCCTTCTACGTGCGTGGGCTCTTCTCCTTCTTCCAGGGACGCTACAACGAGGCCAAGTGAGTGTGGGGCAGGGGGCAGCATGTGGGCCGTGCTCAGGTTAGCCCAGGCCCAGTCCTGCAGGCGTCAGCGTCCTCATTCTCCTTGTCAGGCGATTTCTGCGGGAAACTCTGAAGATGTCCAATGCCGAGGACCTGAACCGGCTCACAGCCTGCTCCCTTGTGCTCCTGGGCCACATCTTCTATGTGCTGGGAAACCACAGGGTGAGTGCCCTGGCCTGGGCCGCTCGCTTGGGTGCCTGTGGGGCTTGGCTGAGGGACAGGAGCTGGCCAGCAGCCTAGGGGTGGCATGGCACTGTTCATCCTATGCCCCTCGAAGAGCACTTCTAGGTGGACACCCTGACTCCCACAGCCTGGGCAGGCAGGGCCAGGGGAGCTGGGCACCCACAGAGGGTGTGGGGGCAGGCAGGAGGCCTGATGGGTGTGGCCTCAGACATCAGGCAGGCAGAGCCCCTGGGCTTGGGGAGCTGAAGCCAGAACCAAAGGAGCTGCCCTGAGCTAGTGGGGATGACGCAGGCACCCCATCCTATGTGTTGACACCCAAGGGGCAGAGAGGTGCCTCCTCTCAGTCAGCCTCCCAAACATTTCATTCTTGCCCAGCATGCATAGTGTCCTCTCAGGGTACAAGTGGCCCTTGGAGTTGGTCCCCACCCAAGGTCAGCTGGTCTCTGGTGGGACTGGCCACCTCAGTCCTTCTTGTCAATTCCTTGCCTGCTCTCACCTTCCTGATCTCACGAGGTCTTGAAGTTTTTTTTTTCTCAGACGGAGTCTCTCTCTGTTGCCCAGGCTGGAGTGCAGTGGTGCAATCCTGGCTAACGGCAAGCCCCACCTCCCGGGTTCACGCCATTCTCCTGCCTCAGCCTCCCGAGTAGCTGGGACCACAGGCACCTGCCACCACGCCCGGCTAATGTTTTTATATTTTTAGTAGAGAGACGGGATTTCACTGTGTTAGCCAGGATGGTCTCGAACTCCTGACCTTGTGATCCACCTGCCTCGGCCTCCCAAAGTGCTGGGATTACAGGCGTTAGCCACCACGCCCAGCCTGTTTGTTTGTTTGTTTGTTTGTTTGTTTTAAGAAGATATTTTGGGCAGGCACAGTGGCTCACGCCTGTAATTCCAGCATTTTGGGAGGCCAAGGCGGGCAGATCACCTGAGGTCAGGAGTTTCAAGACCAGCCTGGCCAACGTAGTGAAACCCCGTCTCTTACTAAAAATACAAAAATTAGTGGGGCGTGGTGGTAGGAGCCTGTAATCCAAGCTACTCGGGAGGCTGAGGCATGAGAATCACTTGAACCCAGGAGAGAGAGGTTGCATTGAACCAAGATCATGCCACTGCACTCCAGCCTGGGCAGCAGAGTGAGACTCTGTCTCAGAAAAAAAAAAAAAGGTATTTTTGTGCCAGGCATGGTGGCTCATGCCTGTAATCCCAGCACTTTGGGAGACCGGGACAGGTAGATCACCTGAGGTCAAGAATTCAACACCAGCTTGGCCAACATGGTGAAACCCCATTTCTACTAAAAATACAAAAATTAGCCAGGCCCGGTGGTGCACATCTGTACTCTCAGCTATTCCAGAGGCTGAGACAGGAGAATTGCTTGAACTCAGGAGGTGGAGAGGTTGCAATGAGCTGAGGTCGTGTCATTGTACTCCATCCAGCCTAGGTGAGAGCAAGACTCCATCTCAAAAAAAAAAAATTTTGGCCAGGCACAGTGGCTCATTGCTTGGATCACTTTGGGAGGCGGATGGGGGAGAATCCCTTGATCCCAGGAGTTCAAGACCACCAGCCTGGGTAACCTAGCTAGACCCTCTTTTTTTTGAGGCCGAGTCTCACTCTGTCACCCAAGTTGGAGTGCAGTGGCACGGTCTCAGCTCAGCTTATGGCAACCTTCGCCCCTTGCAGGGTCAAATGATCCTCCCACCTCAGCCTCCCAAGTAGCTGGGGCCACAGGTGTGTGCCACCACGCTCAGCCATTTTGGTAGAGACCAGGTCTCCATGTTACCCAGACTGGTCTTGAACTCCTGAGCTCAAGTGATCCACCCACTTAAGCCTCCCAAAATGCCAGATTACAGCATGACCCACTGTGCCTGGCCCTAGAGATGGTATCTCTTAAAAAAATAATAATAAGATATTTTCCAGCCAGGCACAGTGACTTGAGCGGCCTGTAATCCCAACACTTTGGGAGGCAGAGGTGGAAGGATCATTTGAACTCAGGAATTCAATATCAGCCTGACCAACATAGTGAGATCCCATCTCTACAAAAACCATACAAAAAAATTAGCCAGTGTGGGAACTCATGCCTGTGGTCCCAGCTAATTGGGAGGCTGAGGTGGGAGGATCACTTGAGTCCAGGAGGTTGAGGCTGCAGTGAGCTGTGATCATGTTACTGTACTCCAGCCTGGACAACACAGTGGGATCCTGTCTCAAAAAAAAAAAGTTGTTATTTTTCTAGATTATAAAATATGACATGTTCATAATTAAAAGGTTGAGAAGTAAAACAAAAAAATAGCATGTCTCTGTCATCCATCCCTTCCCGCTGCCCACCCCTCCCACCTGGAGGTTTTGCTTGTCAGCCTGTTTGGTAATTTTTTTTTTTTTTTTTTTGAGATGGAGTCTTGCTGTGTTGCCCAGGCTAGAGTGTAGTGGTATAATCTTGGCTCACTGCAACCTCTACCTCCCAGGTTCCATGGATTCTCCTGCCTCAGCCTCCCAAGTAGCTGGGATTATAGTCACACGCCACCACACCTGGCTAATTTTTGTATTTTTAGTAGAGATGGGGTTTCACCACGTTGGCCAGGCTTGTCTCAAACTCCTGACCTCAGGTGATCTGCCCACCTCGGCCTTCCAAAGTGCTGGGATTACAGACGTGAGCCACTAGGTAATTTTATATTTGCCTTTCTCCACACCACTGTATTGGAAGCTTTTTTTTTTTTTTTTCCCTTAATGGCAGTGAGTGTTTTGAAGCACCATCTACTCTGTAGTTTAACCATTCTCACTGTAGCCATTTCCACAGGATAGATAATGCAGGATGTGTGTCTTGGCTTGTAAAGTTTCACGGGGTCTGAGGGCTCCCTCAGCGTGGATGCTGTTAACAAACCTGGTGCCTGCCCCTGCCCACCCCAACACACACACACAACTGTGTGGTAAGCCTTTGCAGAGGCCAACAAATGGGCCCTACAGCTCAGGCCCTGGTGGGCCTTGGCCTCAGTACTGGGGATGCCACCACCCCGTCAAAACCTGTAGCTGGCTCCTTCTAGAATGTGCTGCCACCCTGCCCTCAGCCTCTGAGCACAGTGAGGGCTGTATGTCCCCATTGGACAGTGCAGATGGCCTTGGGGTATGTCAGATGGGCTCAGGTGAGGGCCCAGGGGCCCAGAAGAGCTTAGGATGAGGCTAGAGTGTCCACACGAGTGGGACACCCCCCAGGATCACTCAAGTCTTCAAAACCAGATTCTGTGGGGTACCCTAAGCTGGCATTGGGAGAACCTACCCAGGAGCGCTGAAGGAGTCTCCTTCCCCAGGCTGCTTTCAGACAGAGGCCCTTGGCTTTCTGCACAGAGGCCAGCCCGGCTCACAATAAGCCAGGCCTAGCGGAAGAGAGCAGTTTTTCTTGCTGTGAGGTGTCAGAAGGGCTTGGTGAATTTTAAAAAGCTCCAAGACCCATCTGGAGCCCACTTTCAAGGTGTGGCTACCGGGCAGCATAGAGTTGTTGGGCTTTGTGTCTCAGGAGGAGCATCTCTGCACTCTGGAGAAGTATTTGGTGGCATCAAAGCCAGTTCTCAGGAGTCGGTTTTGGAGATGTGTCCATCTTGACTTCCCAAGGGCTCCCTGGGCTGCCAGGAGCTATCATCTAGGGAATTCTCCAGGCCTTACCTGAACCCCACATCCAGGCTGACAGGGCTTTGAGTCCTCGGCCCAGACAGGGTCAGCCCAGCACTGCTGGTCGCCATGTAGCCTGTGTAGCACGGGCTCCTGTCCAGTGGCTCCAGGCCCTTGCCATAGTGACAGGGATGGGCATTTATGGGCCCTGATGGCTCTTACTGAGCTCTTCCTGCCACATCCTGAGGACGCTACGGCTGCAACTGGGGTGGCCCTGTGCAGTCAACCAAGCGGGGATTCAGGATTGGAGGATTCCTGCATGCTGGTGCCCCCAAAGCCCCTACGTGTCTGCCGGGGCCTCCCACGAGAGGCAACTCAGTTGTGGAAGACAAACCGGAGGGGCTGCTGCCCCTCTCAGAACCTGGAACCCGGAACCCTAAACAAATCTTCATTTCTGATCAGCCCCCATTGTGGGTCCAGGGCTAACTGCCATCAGTGCTTTTTCTCTGCTTGAAAAGGTAGAAGCCCCCAGAGTTGTCCATTGGCCATGCCCCTGTGAGTAGGTACCTGCAGAGCCAGAAGTGAGGGCAGTTTGTTTTTCAGTGATACTTCAGAGAGGGCCATTTGAGATGGGCTCTGAGGTAAGCATAGAAGTTCACCAGATGCAGAAGGAGGTCACAGCCTGGGCTGGGTTCAGTAGGTTATCCCCACCCCAGCCTGGGCTGGGTTTGGCAAGTGGGGTCCAGGCTCCTCACTCCCTCTTGCTGCTCTTGGTTGACAGGAGAGTAACAACATGGTGGTACCTGCCATGCAGCTCGCCAGCAAGATCCCGGACATGTCGGTACAGCTGTGGTCGTCAGCACTGCTGCGAGGTGAGTGCAATGGCCACCCCTCTTCCCCAGCCCCAGCCTGGCCCTCCCGAGAGATCTAAGGCTGCTGGGCACATCCTGCTCAGCCTTAGCTCGGACTAGGCCTCCGTGGGCCACAGCCCCAGTTCTAGCATGGGTAGGGGGTGCTCCTCAGGAGACCCTGGTTGAGGGCAGTGGGTGCATTTGTGGCATCCACTTGACTCGGGGTCTGGTTCAGTCTCTACAGGACCCAGAGGGTGAGACTTGGTATCTGGTAGACTTGGGCTGTGAGCCTCGCTTCTTCCCAGAAAGGCAGACAGCAGCCATGCCTATTGGGCAGGGCTGGCCAGCTTGCTCTGGGAGCAGTGCGGGCACTCAGCGAGTATCAGTGCTGTTACTGCAGCTCCCCCATTTCCAGATTACGAAACTGAGGTCCAGAGACTCCCCCAGGGCCCTGGGGAGGTGACAGGAGACGGGGTGCTCTGTGTGCAGTGGGCTGCCTGGGGCTGCTGCCTCAGGATGGGCGTCAGACGTCTGTTTGCCTGAGGGCTAGCCATAGGCTCCCTGGAGTGCTGGCGAGAAGCCTGGCATTGGGCTTTCACTGCCCAACCAGCCCTGTTCTGCCCTATGAGAGCAGCTGGCGCATGGGCTTTGTGATCCCAAGACAGGGCTCAGGGCCAGTGACGTGCCAGGCTCCCAGAGATCCACCGGTTCAGCTGGGACTTGACCTTGGGGCTCCATCTGCACCAAGTGGGAGGGCCTGGGCAGCGACAGGGCAAGGTGGGTCCCCATGTTCATGTCCCACTCTCAGACCTGAATAAAGCCTGTGGGAACGCCATGGACGCCCATGAAGCCGCCCAGATGCACCAGAACTTCTCGCAGCAGCTGCTCCAGGACCACATTGAGGCCTGCAGCCTCCCCGAACACAACCTCATCACGGTACGGGTGTGGGTGTGAGAGGATGGGATCGGGGACCAGCGGGCTCCCCACCTGCAAGAGGAAGGGGGCACCTTGGCTGTATTTCTCTTTGTCCAACAAACCCTAACTCAGCCTCGGAAGTGCCCTCTGATGGGGGAGATGGCCACGGGCACCCCCACCCTAGCAAGGGACACAGGTGCCTCCTCGGGGCCCATTGGACTGGGGTGTGGAGAACAGAGTCCTGGTTGGGTGAGCAGCCCAAGGAGGGCAACATTCCCACCTCCTCTTCCCTGGGAACAGCCCACGGTGCCTGACTCTCATGTCCTCTCTTTCTCACAGTGGACAGACGGTCCACCCCCTGTGCAGTTCCAAGCTCAGAATGGACCCAACACCAGCCTGGCCAGCCTCCTGTGAGGCCTTGATGGGGCCATCCAGCTCCACAGGGCCTGCGCGTCTCCGGCTTCCACCCAGACGGCACTCAAGCCTGCCCCTGAGGCGTGCTTCCTTCCTGACTGTCTCTAGAGCTTCCAAGTTCTGGGAATGTGCGCGGCCAGTCCCTGCCCTCCCAGGAGGGGTGGCAGCCGTTCCCATCTCGCACCAGGACCCCCACTGCAGAGGCTCACAGGTGGCACACAGGCGCTGTCTCTCCAGAGCCATCCTTCAGAGTGGACCTCAGTGCCAGTCGTGCCTCTGCAACTGGGTCACGTCGGCCCAGAGTAGGGTACAGGCCTCCAGCAGGTCCTAATCCTGTGTGCCAGGGCAGGCGGTGCCCCAGGGGCACCATGCCTGACTCTCCATCGCCCAGGCCTTGATGCCGAGCAGGAGTAGAGTGTTTCCTCTGCTCAAGGCAATTTCCAGAGCCCAGACACCCGTTTCTGGCCTGAATTTGGAGGAAAGAAGTAATGGCCCACGTGTGGGACGAAGCACAGATCCCAGCACTTTTCCCAGCTTTCTCTCCAGCGTCGGTCCCTGCAGCAGCCGGGGCCTCTGGTCAGGAACCCTCAGGGACCCAGGAACTCAGCTTCCAAACATCTGCACCTTGACCGGACTCGCCATCCCGCTGTAGGGGTGCAGGTGATTGTAAACACGGGTGTGCATGTGCATGCACACGGGTGTGCGGTGAAGATCTGTGGAGCTGGAGCTGGGAGCTGAGGCTCCTGTTGCACCAGCCACCTTCCCCCATCTTGTGGCTACTGAGGGGCAGGAAGTGGGGGAGTGGGTTTCTCTCCCAAATTTAAGATCACCTCCTCAGCTAGCTTAGAGTGCATGGCACGGGCCCCCCGCCCCCCAGATCTGGAGCCCAGGGACCTTCTTCCTGGCAGATCTGTGGCCTTCCCTGCAAAGGACGTCTGTAGGCTCAGCCTCTTGGTCCCCCACCCTGCCGCCTTGCTTTCCCTGCTGGGTCTCTGGGGCATAGTGTGAAACCCCCACCCTAGCGAGGCCCCAGGGAGTCTCTGCTGGGCCCAGACAGCAGCATTTGGTTGTATCCACTTTTCTTGATAATCAGGAGGTGCCCCAGTGGTCACAGTGTGGCATTGTGAGTTGGGGGGTCAGGGGTCAAGATATCAGCAGCAGGTGTCAGGACTCAGGACACCATCCCCTCCAGCTTCTGGGGCCCAGGAGCCTCTCCCTGCTGCAGGGGGTGGGGGTCCTGCTCGGCAGGGTAGGTGGTGGTTTCAGGTCTTGTCACCCTTGCTTGGTGGAGCTGCCTCTGGGAGCTTCGGCGTCTGTGACTGAAGGGATGCTGGATTGCTCAGGTCAGCTGCTCAGGGCTCCCAGGCTAGGTGTGCCTTAGCCACAGGCAGGGCTGTCAATAACCCCCTTCCTCACTGGCCAGTACCTGACATCAGCACCAGTGACAGGCTGGTCAGAGGGCAGGGCTGGTGAGGGTTTGTCCTAAGAGGACCACCACCATCTCTGGGTCTCCAGGGGGAGAGCCTGGCCCTGTCCTGTGCTACCCGGGGCTGCCCCCAGACCCGTGAGGCCAATAGGAGAGCGTGTGGCACTGACCCACAAGCTGTCCCTGTCCCGTCTTCCTCCTGAGCCATGGCCTCTGCTAGCTCCACCTTGAAGGAGCCCCTCAGATCCTCCCCTACATCACTGAGATGCCACCACTTGTGTCTCCACAATGTGCTCCTGCCTACCTGGGTCCCGCACTGTCTGACCCCTGCACACCACACTCATGTCACCACGGCGTGCATCATGTTCATCCCCATCTATTTATTTAAGCCTTTCTTTGCTTGTAGGGCATTTTGTATGTAGAGCAGTTGAAAACAGAACCTCAGAACTTAACATCTGTCCTGATGTTAAAGTGCTTTTCATGACCACCCCGTTATCTATGTATATGTAAAGTTAAGGATGAGATCTTAAGTTTACAATTAAAAACTCAGTACTCGATATTTAATATTCTACTCGAGCTTTATGGAAGCCAAATCATGTGCGTGTGTGTGTGTGTGCGTGCGTGTGTGCAAGCTTTGAACCTCCTTCCACGGCCGCATCTTCTGATGACACAAAGCTTTTGACAAGGACCTTCTTGTGAGTCACTCAGCGCCTCATAGTGTCTCATTCAATTGCAAGAATAGAGGCCAGACACGGGGGCGCATGCCTGCAATCCCAGCTAACTGGGAGGCTGAGGCAGGAGGATCACTTGAGCCCAGGAGATTGAGGCTGCAGTGAGCATGTTCACGCCACTGCACTCCCGCCTGGGTGATGGTGAGACTTTGTGTCAAAATAAATAAATAAATAAAACGAGTCCCTGAGGACACATCACACAGTCTCCTATAGCTAAGTGTCTAGGAAGAAATAAAAACTCCAGACCCTTCAGTGGATGAGGACAAGGAGGTCGCCGAAAGGCATTCTGTTGACAGATGAACAGCTGAAAGCTGGCCAGACCCTCCTGTATGCCTCTGCCCTTGTCCTGTGGCCTGTGGGTTGTGAGGTCTGACGAGGAAGCCACCTACAGCAGGAAGCGAGGCTGCCGTGTGTCCTTCAGACAGCTGTCTTTCCCCAGCTCTGTCCCTATAGTTGCCTGCCGGTGGGCGAGGGTCCTCTCCCCGGGAGAAGCACTCCCAGCCCCGTTTATCAGAAGCAGGCAGGGAAATTGGAACTGCCACCCAACCGGCATGGTGGCTCAATTTGTTGGTTGCGTTGTCAGTTGTCTATTCTGTTAAGGTTTTTAATAAGTACGTTTGGCATAATGTATTTTAATGGGTTTGTAATATCGTAATGGTTTTAGCAGCCTATAACTTTTCAGCTGGTGCTTTTACTTAGGGAAAAAAAGACAATTTGTAAATACAGAACATTGTTTAAAAGACGTAACCATAGAACATAGCTTCCTGTTTGTGGATTTCGTTTCCTATATATTCAAAGTAAAATGACTTACAGGAGCCATGTGCTGTGTCTTTGTTGTTTCCTCTGTCCCCTTTGTGAGCCATCCCGAAGATGGCTGCCACCCTCCCTGCCATGCCCACAGGGGCCCCCTCTGTGGCAGGGTCTTCAGCATGAGGATGCAGTCCCCAAATCCTGAGCCAGATGACGTGATGGAAGCCTGAGTCCCCATCCCCTCCACTGATCATTTTCCTCCAGCCTGGCCTTTCCTAGAAAGGAAGGAACCCGGTGGCTCAAGCCTGTAATCCCAGCACTTTGGGAGGCCGAGACGGGCGGATCACAAGGTCAGGAGATCGAGACCAGCCTGGCTAATACGGTGAAACCCCGTCTCTACTAAAAAATACAAAAAACTAGCCGGGTGAGGTGGTGAGCGCCTGTAGTCCCAGCTACTCGGGAGGCTGAGGCAGGAGAATGGCAATGGCGTAGACCCGGGAGGCGGAGCTTGCAGTGAGCTGAGATGCGGCCACTGCACTCCAGCCTGGGCGACAGAGCGAGACTCTGTCTCAAAAAAAAAAAAAAAAAAAAAAAAGGAAGGAAGGAACCTCATGCTCCATCAGCATATGAGATATGAGGCCTTCAGCAGCCTGCTCCTTGAATCCTCCCAGCCCTCCCAGGGGCAGACTTCCCCACGCACCCAGGTGTCCTGGTCCCTGTGTTTTTTTATTTTTATTTTTATTTTTATTTTATTTTATTTTATTTTATTTTTGAGACGGAGTCTTGCACTTTCGCCCAGGCTGGAGTGCAGTGGTGCAATCTCTGCTCACTGCAACCTCCACCTCCCAGGTTCAAGCAATTCTCCTACCTCAGCCTCCCAAGTAACTGGGATTACAGGCGCCCGCCACCAAGCCCAGCTAATTTTTTGTATTTTTAGTAGAGACAGGGTTTCACTGTGTGAGCCAGGCTGGTCTCGAACTCTTTTTTTTTTTTTTTTTTTTTTTTTGAGACGGAGTCTCGCTCTGTCGCCCAGGCTGGAGTGCAGTGGCTGGATCTCAGCTCACTGCAAGCTCCGCCTCCCGGGTTCGGGCCATTCTCCTGTCTCAGCCTCCTGAGGAGCTGGGACTACAGGCGCCCGCCACCTCGCCCGGCTAGTTTTTTGTAGTTTTTAGTAGAGACGGGGTTTCACCGTGTTAGCCAGGATGGTCTCGATCTCCTGACCTAGTGATCCACCCGTCTCGGCCTCCCAAAGTGCTGGGATTACAGGCTTGAGCCACTGCACCCGGCCAGTCTCGAACTCTTGACCTTGTGATCCACCCACCTCAGCCTCCCAAAGTGCTGGGATTCCAGGCCTGAGCCACTGCGCCCGGCTGGTCCCTGCGTTCTTAGAGGGGAGCAGCCTCCGTGCTCCTGGGAGTAGAGGAGTTATTTGCCCAGATTTTTTTGTTTTGAGGTGACATTAACTTAACATTTAACTGTTTTTGCAGGTTGTGCTGGCTTACGGCACAAGGCAGGAGAATGCCTTGAGCCCCGGAGTTCAAGAACAGCCTGGGCTATATAGAGAGACCCAGTCTCTACAAAAAAACATGTTAAAATTAGCCAGGCAACCAGGTGCAGTGGCTCAAGCCAGTAATCCAAGCATTTTGGGAGGCCGAGGTGGGCGGATCACTTAAGGCCAAGAGTTGAGACCAGCCTGGCCAACATAGTGAAACCCTGTCTACTAAAAAGTACAAAAGCTAGCTGGGTATGGTGGTGTGCACTTGTAGTCCCGGCTACTTGGGAGGCTGAGGCAGGAGAATTGCTTGCACCAAGGGGTGGAGGTTTCAGTGACCCAAGATCCCAATACTGCGCTCCAGCCTGGGTGACAGAGTGAGACTCTCTCTCAAACAATAAATAAATAAAAATACAAAAGATAAAAATCAGCCAGTGTGGTGGTGTACATCTATAATCCCAGCTACTCGGGAGGCTGAAGCAAGAGAATTGCTTAAACCTGGAGGCAGAAGTTAACAATGAACCAAGATCACATCACTGTACTCCAGCCTGGGCGACAGAGTGAGACTCTTTATCCCCCCCCCAAAAAAAAAAAAAATTAGCCAGGCATAGTAGTGTGTTCCTGTAGTCCCAGCTATTCAGGAGGCTGAGACGGGAGGATTGCTTGAACCCGGCAGGATATAGTAGAGACAGTCTTCCTCTATTTTATATGTATATACAATATTACTGTATGTAAAGTGGACTGCTCAGTAGTATTCAGTACATTCACGGTGTTGCACAATCATCATCTCTATCTGGTTCCAGAACATTTTCATTTTCCCAAAAGGAGATTCATCCCCATCAGCAGTCTCTCCTCATTCCTCCTCCCTCCCCAAGCCCCTGGCAACCACTAATCTGCTTCCTGTCTGTGGATTTGCCTGTTCTGGACATTTTTTATCAATGAAATATCATACCCTGTGACCTCTTGTAGTCTGGGGTCTGTCACTCAGCATCATGTTTTTGAGGTTCCTCTGCACTGTAGCATGGATCATTTCTTCATTCCTTTTATGACTGAATAATATCCCATTATATGGATGGACCAAACTCTGTTTTTTTTTTAATCTTTTTTTTTTTTTTTTTTTTTTTGAGACGGAGCCTTGCTCCGTCACCCAGGCTGGAGTGCAGCGGCTTGATCTCGGCTCACTGCAACCTCCGCTTCCTGGGTTCAAGCGATTCTCCTGCCTCAGTCTCCTGAATCGCTGGGACTACAGGCGCCCGCCACCATGCCCAGACAATTTTTGTATTTTTAGTAGAGACGAGGTTTCACCATATTGGCCAGGCTGGTCTCAAACTCCTGACCTTGTGATCCACCTGCCTCGGCCTCCCAAAGTGCTGGGATTACAGGCGTAAGCCACCACGCCTGGCCTTTTTTTTTTTTTTTCTTTTCTTGAGACAGGATCTCGCTGTATAGCCCAGTGCAGTGGTATGATCTCAGCTCACTGCAACCTCCACTTCCCAGGCTCAAGGGATCCTCCCACCTCAACCCCTCAAGTAGCTAGAATGACAGGCACGCACCATCAGGCCAGTCTAATTTTTCTGTATTATTTTAGACATGGGGTTTCACCTTGTTGCCCAGGCTGGTCTTGAACTCCTGGACTCAAGCGATCTGCCCGCCTTGGCCTCCCAAAGTGCTGGGATTACCAGCGTGAACCACGGTGCCCAGCCTTATCCATCGTTTTATGGACATTCAGGTTGCTTCCCCCTTGTGGCGACTGTGAATAGTGCTGCTCTGTGAGTTTTGTCTGGAGCACGTGTTTTCAATTCACCTGGGCTTTCCGTGTGTCTTTACTGTGGACAGAAGAGGCTGCTCAGCACACACACACAGTGTGAAGGCCCTCATGTCACTCTCTTTTTTTTTTTTTTTTTTTTTTTTTTTTTTGGTGGTGGAGTCTCACTCTGTCGCCCAGGCTGGAGTTTTTTTTTTTGGTGGCGGAGTCTCACTCTGTCGCCCAGGCTGGAGTGCAGTGGCCGGATTTCAGGGTTTACGCCTCCCGGGTTTACGCCATTCTCCTGCCTCAGCCTCCCAAGTAGCTGGGACTACAGGCGCCCGCCACCTCGCCCGGCTAGTTTTTTGTATTTCTTAGTAGAGACGGGGTTTCACCGGGTTAGCCAGGATGGTCTCAATCTCATGACCTTGTGATCCCCCCGACTCGGCCTCCCAAAGTGCTGGGATTACAGGCTTGAGCCACCGTGCCCGGCCCCTCATGTCACTCTCAGGTTAGTTCCCCATGAGAGATACACAAGCCATCTTAGCCTCGAGCCCCAAGGGGCTCTGATGGATGTACGACGTTTTTGTATTTTGTTTTGCTATGTGCCGTTGTAGACAGAGTCTCACTCTGTTGCCCGGGCGGGAGTGCAGTGGTGCAATCACTTGAGCCTCACTACTGCAGTCTCAAACACCCTGGCCCAAGCGACCCTCCTGCCTCATCCTCCTGAGTAGCTGGGACTATAGGTACGTGCCACCACACCCAGTTAATTTTTTTTTTTTTTTTTTTTTTTTGGAGATGGAGTCTCACACTGTTGCCCAGGCTGGAGTGCAGTGGCGTGATCTCAGCTCACTGCAACCTCTGCCTCCCAGATTCAAGAGATTCTCCTGCCTCAGCCTCCCGAGTAGCTGGGATTACAGGCACCTGCCTCCATGCCCAGCTAATTTTTTTGCGTTTTTTTAATAGAGATGGGGTTTCACCCTGTTGGCCAGGCTGGTCTCCAACTCCTGAGCTCAAGCAATCCTCCCACCTTGGACTCCCAAAGTGCTGGGATTTCGGGCTTGAGACACCACACTGGCCCTGTGCGAGTGTTTGAGTCCCAACACGGTGATCACAGCACCCCATCCCCTCTGCCCCATCCCCACCAGTTCAGCACCAGGCCGCCTTTTCACTCAAGGTAGACTGCTTATTCTTCGTCATCAGCTAGGACATCATCTCCTCCAGACAGACAGTCAGGGGCCTATCTGGCCCACCTCACACCTCACCAGTCCCTGCATGGGATTCGCATCTTGAACCTGAGCTGGACCAGAGCACAGCATGAGGAGCCTGCCATGGGACCAGCCACCTTTCCAGCAGGTATGCAACCCCCAGCTGGGAGATGTGAACCTGCGTGTGGACAGCAGGCCTATCCTGGGTTGACCAATGTTTCACACAGAGCCTACACCCAGGCAGTCACCTTGGCCTGGGCTCCCGGCAGACCAGGGTCACACAGCTCCTCCTGTTGAGTCATTTCCAAGTAGGCTATGCCCTGTGCAGCATCCATGGGACCCTGACTCAGGAAGTGAGTGACCTTCCTTTTCCCATAAGCCATGTCCTTATCCATCTCATCTCTCATCCACTTAGAGGATGAGGCAGGAGGGCGGCTGAGGCAGGAGGATCGCTTGAGCCCAGGAGGTTGAGGCTGCAGCAAGCTATGATCATGCCACTGCACTCCAGCCAGGGTGACAGAGTGAGACCCTGTCTCTAAACAAAACATAACAAAAAACAAATGACAGGAGCCAGGTGTGGTGGAGCATACCTGTAGTCCCAGCTCCTTAGGAGGCTGCGATGGGA